TGCTTCCCCTCGCATGCACCTCCCCTCACACCCTAGCAAAGCAGTGAGGGCTATAATTAGACTTGAGCCCTTAATTAGATGTGTAGAAGCTGTGGGGATAAAATGGTGTAAGGCTAAGAAAGTCCTGGGCACTGACAGCTGCTGCTGCTGTTGCCTTCCTTGGGGGACCTCCGCTCTGGGATGTCTGAGCCTGGGCTCGTTATCTCCGCCGTGCAAACCGAGGCTTTGTCAGAGAGGCGATTTCCCTGTTCTTCTGCTTTAATGAAGCTTCAGTCACGGTTCTTCCTTTGCCCTTGAATGGCAAACGAGTGCAGGCAGCATCTGCCTGTCCCCCCTGGCTTTTGGTCTCGCTCCTGAGGTAGCCAGCAAAGAATAAGAGCAAAGTCAGAGCAAACTGAGCGTGGGGCCAGGACCAAAGACATTCCCGACCCCATGGGTAGAGGTTGGACTGATACTACACTGTGACATGGTACTATTAGGAGATCCTTCTGTGAAGACCCAGGAATCAGGGGCTCGGGGTCTGCCAGCACAAGCCCATGGGGTCTGGCTCCTCGTGTGCTGCCACAGGATGCCCTGGTGCCAGCCCCCTCTCATCAGTATGTCCCTCCCTGCCTGGATGCTGCACATCCTGGCCCCCTGCCACAGCTTTCCCTCCCTGGTGCCCCCTGCTCCCTGGTTCCCAGTTTGCACCCGAGCCCTCTCCCACACCGGACAGGCAAAACCCTCTGCCCGCACCATACCCACCACCCCGAGCCTGCTCCCTCCTGCCCAAGATCTCTTGATTAAGTTTCCCTTGGGGATTGTAAACAACCCTGAGAAGTCACCTCCACAACGCCCTTAATCTGGTCTCCTGCAGGCTGCGGCTGTTGTTTATGAAGAGCCCTGACAGCCACATTTGTCTGAGGCATCTCTTCAGTGCTTTAATAAACCCCTCCTGGCTGGGAGCTCTTTGCCCACAGCCCTGTGCCAAGGGGACTTGGCGGGGGCTCGGCAAGGGGAAAGTGGAGGCTCCAGTGCTGGGGGGCAGAGCTGGAGGGGATGTGAACCCCAGCACCCCGGGGTGAGGAGGCATTTGGGCTTGGTGTGGGAGGGAGTGGGATGCTTCAGATGTGGAGAGGGATGGTGGTGCTGGAGGGGATGAGAAGGGGGTTTGTGTGCAAGTGGCTCTTTTGTAGGGTTTTGTGGTGAGGTTTGGACCTCGTAGGAGCTGCCTGGTCTGGAGAGGGCTCTGACTTTAGGGAAGCAGCAGTTCTCTCTGAGGTGTTGGTCTCCTCCATTTTACAGATGGAGAAATCAAGATGCAGAGAGGCAAAATGACTTTGCTACAGTCATGCAGAAAACTGGTAGCAGAGCTGAGGCTAGAGCCATGGCACTCGTTGTGCTGCTTCTCTTCTCCATGAAACAGGGAAAGGCTTTGCTTCAGGTTTCACCTTCCTTGCTCAGGATCTCTGAACGTGTCCCTGGGGCTGACTCTGCTGTCTGCATGGCAGGCAGGCTTGCCTGCAGTGATCTTTCCCTCCGTGTGAGCGGATGACCCATGACAGTTCAGGCACTGTGATTACTTGCTCCAGAAAAAAGTGCTAATCACAGCAGAGATCAGCACATCATTTTTTCCTTTCACCACCTCACACAGCTCCTCAGGGAATTGCTTGCAGTTTTTATTTTCCCTCCAGCATCCGAAATCACAGGTTATCAGTATTCACAGGTCATGGCAGTCTGCAAATCCTACACTTTGGTGGCTGTGAGTGCCTCAGCCTGTCCTTGGGAGGAGGGTGATGCAGGGGCCAGAAGATCTTCTCATGAGATGATGCTCCAAGAGCATGTGCAGAGCTGCTCTGACTCTGGCAATGGGACAAGGCAAGGCCTTCTCATGGGTAGAAAACTGCCTCGTCTGTTGGTGGTGTGGTGGGAAGTGCCCGGCTCTGTCCTCTCCATCCCGTAATTCTCATGACCTCACCAACAGAAGCTGATAAAATGTGGCCTGAGAGAAGGAGAGCTGGCAAATGGAAAAGCAAACAGCTTTCCAGCCTGGACACATCCTGTCGCGGGCAATGTCACCTTGGTGGAGTCTGACAATGCGGAGAAGCAAAGGAGGTGCCTGTGGTCAGAGCCAAACTTGCTGACAGCCTACCTTGGGGCATCCAGTGCCCCTCCACCCCGCCGTGCATCCCTCCCCTGGGCAGCACAGCCTTTCCTCAGCCACAGCGGCTGCTCAGCTGCAGAGGCAGAGGTGGAAGGAAGCCCCTGGGTAAAGGAGAGCCCAGGCAATATCCAATATCCTTGATGAAGGCAAGCACCATCTCTACATCCTCAGAGATGGGGAACCTTCTCCATGGCTTCTCCAGCCTCACATTTAGGGGCTCTTTCCTTTCTTTCTGGGCTTCCCCACTCACACATTCCTCTCCATACTCCAGATTTTCAGGGGCATCAGGTCTTGGTGGCTCCCATTTGCTTTGATAAGAGCTGGTGGCATCCAACAATAGCTCATATCTATGTCAAGGTTTTGCCCCAAAACAGTTACTGCCTGGTTTGTCCTCCCGGGCCAAATAAGGTCTCAGTGTTCAGGCTGCAAAGCCTGTGTAACTCCCAGTTTGCAATGGCATAAATCAGAGCCCAGTCTGGCCTCCGGAGTGCAAGGCCACAAAGAATTGATGCTGAGGGGGAGGAAGGAGGATGAATAATCCAAAATATGAGTGCAGCCCTGGCTCTTGAGTGTAACAGAGCTTTGAGAGGAGAGTTCACACTTAGCAAAGTAATTAAAAGTTGTAAGTCAGGCAAGCAGTGAAGGATTCTGGCCCCTTTCCTTGGGAGATCAAAGCTTGTTTTGGCAGAGACAGCATTTAAATATATTTATAAAAAAAGGCAGGAGGCTCGTCAAAGGCAGCCGCCGTGTCTGCGGTCTCACTTTAATTTGCTTTGATATCCCATGCAGCCTCATTATTTGCAGAGTGTCGGGGCTCACAGTAATCCACATGAAATGCTGAGCAGAATCAAACAGACCCTCACGTTTGCACGCCCACAGCTTCACATCTCCTCCCGCAAGCACCTGGCAAAGTCCTGCAAACCCAGGAGCAACCCCAGCCCTGCGAGAGCATCTCTGTGGGTCTGGGTATCCCCAGGTGCTCTGGGCACCTCACAGTGACGCAGGATGGACTGGGCTGCACATCCCACCTGCCCTCTCTAACCCCAGGGCAGCCAAAACACCTTTCCCCTCAGCTCTGCAAGTCTTCTGGGTATTTTTATGTGCTTTTCCCATCCTGTGGTAGTTGACATCTTTTGTGAATCCCATGCCCCTTTGTATATGCTCGAATGCCCAGGTTGTCATCTTACCTTTGGCTTTACTTCTGATGCTCTTGTAGATGAGATTGATACTAACCTGCCTGGTGGGCTGCTGGTTCAGAGAGACAGTGCTGCTGGTTTACAGCTTTTGGGGACAGGCTGCATCTTTTACCAACACTTTGGGCTTGTTTACCTATGAGAACCAGCATGAATTCAGCCAGACTATCATTTAAAGTGGATTAGTTGAACTCTGCTCAGTCAGATTTTAAATGGCCTTTTTTTTTTTTTAAGATAATTTGCTTAGGAAGTAAGCAAGTTAAAAAGATTTGATTCAGTTTAATTGATCCATGTTAATTTTATACCTGTGGTTAATTCAGGGTAAGTTTCCTAGCTGTTCCTGCACAGACAGATGGTCAGAAAGGAACAGGGACCAGATCCCGCAGCGATCCTGGGAGAAGGGGTGACTTTGTGCCTCTTTCTTGCCTGTCTGCCCAAAAACTGCTGGCACAGTTTCAGATGCTCCCGAGCCCAGTGGCATGGGCTGAACCCATCCCTCAGGTGTGGGCTGTCTATTGAGGACACCCTGCATCCCTTAGCTCACAGGAACCCTGGTTCCCCAGTGACCATGGCACAAAATCACATCTTTTCCCAGGTCACTTGCCTGCCACCTCTCATCCATCAAACGAGCAAACTGCAGCCAGGTCCCAGCCCTGCTCACTACCCCGTGAAAGCCAGCCCTCCCTCTCCAGTCTTCAGCAATGAGATCATCGCTGGCTGCCTGCACACTGGGATCTGTGCGCTGAAATCTGCGTTAGGCGTAGCCGGGGATTGTCTCTGTGCAGTTCAGGGAAAGGGCTTGGTGAGGGGCAGGACTCGGGGGCTCAGACTGGGACGTGGCAGGGGAGTCCTCCCTGGGGAGTTTCCCTGCTGCAATGTTCCTCCTTGTTCTGGGGAAATCACTGCAGGGTGCCTGGAGGACACCAGTGCTTTATGGCAAGGCCCCTGGACCCTGGAGGTCTTGCTAACTTGGAGGGTGGATTTGTAGGTTAGATGAGAAGGGGGAGAGCTGTATGGCCGCTGGGAAGGGGACAAAATGGTCATCCCTGCTTGGTCCCACACCTTTTCAGAGGACAATGCATCCCTCTCTTGGGGAGGTGGTGCTTCTCCATCCCAGCACACCCAGTTAGCGCTGCCTCCTCCCTCCCAGTGCACCCAGTTAGCACTGCCTCCTTCTGAACAGCCCCTTGGAAACAGCATCCGTGTGAATTGGGATAATCCACTTCTTCAGGGTCCAGGCGACCTGTGTTGAACTCGTCAGGGTTTTGCTGTGCTGCTCTCTGAGTCTCTGCATGCCAGAATATTCCTACCAACCAGCTGTTAATTACAGAGTGAGGAGCTTTAAGTGCAAGCCTCAAACTGGAGACCAGAGGGAGCTCAATGGCTTATTTTGTTCTGAATTCTTGCTCCTTTCAGGGTTTCTTGGGTTTGATGAGGCTTCACACCTGGAGTCCCAAGAGAAGAGTTATTTCTCTGAGCTGCTTTTAGTTTTCAAGAGAGCTTTTGTGCTTCTCAGGACTGTGTGTCTGGCTGAGTGCAGCAGGTTGGGGCAGGACAGCCTGGAGTGTTTTGTTTTGCAGTAAGTGACTCTGCAGCCTTTAATCCCAAACACCTTCTTCTGAGAAATAGTCACATCCTTGGAGGAAAGTACCCTGGTGTCTGTTAGTTTTGGTGGTTCCTGAGGCAGATTAGGTACTCATGATTGTAAGCTCCCCAGAGGCAGGGTGCTCTGTTTTACTTCCGTACAGACCTAGCACAGAGGGATCCAGAGCCACCATCAGGCACCTAGATGTTGCTAAAGTGCAGATCGTGTTTAGTCTAACGTGACGTTAGTGAAGATAAGGCTGGGAAGTTAAGATGAATACTCACCAGTGCAAAACCCGTGGTGCTGCTACAGAGGGGAGAGCTGCTGGGCAATGCTGCCAGGGGGGCTGAGCACTGGATTGGGATGTGGGAGATCTGGGTGGCCTTGGGTATGAAGCAGTTTCCCTCTCAGCATCCCCCTGCCCATCTGTCAAGAGACATTCATTGCAGGGAGCTGCACGAGGGTGCTGAGCAGACCTGTGTGGGTGGTGATGCACCAGGAGGCTGGAGCAAAAAGCAGGTATTCCCTCTGCCTTCTGGATGTTGAGAAGGAAGAAGACTTGGCCATGGCCTTAGAGCATCTCTAGACCTCCCTGCCCTGCTCCCACTTTCTTTTCTCCAAATAAAATGCCTTGGGTGTTGGCACTTCTGCTGCTACTCCAGCAGCTCACTCTCCTTTCTCTTTGTCCTCAGACCTGGCTCAAGGGCACCTGCAGCTGGGACAGCTGGGCAGAGACTTCCGAGCAGACACCAGCCCCATCTCCCCCTCTGAGGTGGAAGGTCAGTCACCGATGGCCGTGCGCTACCGCAACAACAACCAGCGCCGCTTCTCCATGGAGGCAAGTACTGCTGCAGGCTGGAGCGGGCAGGAGGGATGTGACAAGTTCTGGTTGTCACCTCCCTGCTGGCTGGAAGGGCCGATGTTTGATTCATGAGGACCTGGCAGTCTCAGGCACACGCCCTGACGTCCTCTTGGATGCATTCAGCATGACTCCCGTGGTACCTGACAAAGCGTGCACATGCACCCACACACCTTTCCTTTTCCTTTGACAAGGGTCCCACAGATGCTGCCCCTATGGCTTTGCCATTAACACCAGCTCTGGTTAGAGAGCACTGTCCCTTGAACGCCTCTGCACAGTCCTTCTTTCATCAGATGCATTCATCACCTGCTCTTCTGGCCCTCTCCACAGGATGTCAGCAAGCGTCTCTCCCTGCCCATGGACATCCGCCTGCCCCCCGAGTTCTTGCAGAAGCTGCAGATGGAGAGCCCAGAGTTCCCCAAGCCCCTCAGCAGGATGTCCCGACGGGCTTCCCTGGTAAGTCTGACCACGCAGAGCGAGCAGTGCCAGGCACAACATCTCTCTTCATGTGTACAAATCCCAGCCAGCAGATGCACGTGCTGATTGCCACCCACCCACGCAGTCATGCCCTGCTCTGCAAGCTCCCTTGTACCCACTGTGTGGGATGGAGATACACACACACATCCCTGCCCATGCAAATCCCTTTCTGCACACTCCCAGCAGCACATATTCCCCCCACCATGCACATATCATAGAATCTCCTGGTTGGAAAAGACCTCTGAGATCATCGAGTCCAACCGTACCTGTCCACTTCATCTCTTCCCCGTGTCACTCCTACACATGCAGAGCTACGTACTGTCCTGTAAACCCCCAGGCCTGCACATTCCTTCACTCACCTCTGCACATACCTGACTTTCTTCTTGGCCTGGCTCCTTCCAAACTGGAGGTGGTGGAAAACCTCCTGAGGTTTAGCAAGTGCTGGAGCCTCTGCTAGTTGAAATGCAAATGCTGATAAATAATGAATTAGCCTTTGCATTAGTGTTGGCATTTCAGTTTCTTTACTGCAGAGCATCAGCATATGTAGGAGCAAAAACCTGGTGTTCTGTTTACAAATGTGGAAGCTCGTGTCCTGCTGCCCAGGACTGCTCAGTGCTCTACAGATACAACAGTGAGGTCTCAGTGGGCATCTTCAGATCTGGCATGCCTGTTCCGGGGGAGGCAGGAGAGAAGGAGAGCTTGCATTTACCTACCTGTGCTGTCTAATCAGTAAAATAGACACAGCCAGAGCAATGTTCCATTAATATTCATGGTCCCCTCCGTGATGTTCCTGCAGAATTCACAGTATGGTTCTGGGGGGTGTACAGCACCTCAGGTTGCTGCAGCCACTTCATTTCCCTGCTCAGGATCCATCTGTTCCCAGGGTACACAGAGGGTTTGGGGCAGCCAAAATGGAGTGAAAAATGCTACCTTCCCCTGGGATTTGATAGTCCAAATCCAGCCTGTGTGAGCAAGAAAGCAGCTTTCCTGCTGCGTGTTGTATCTTCTGAGAGCTTGGTGGTCTGCTCAGTGCCTGTGGCAAGGAACAAGCCTTCCCATGGGGCAAATCTGGTGAGCATGGGAGGCTGCAAGAACACCCCAGACCTGGCCATAGCGCAGGGGGCTCTTTCAGTGCCTCCCCCTGGGACCCATTCCCTGCAGAGCCCCGTGTCTTTCCCTGCTGATGGACAGCTGCCATCCAGCTCCATTGCTGATGGCGAGGGCCGTGGCATGAGCCCTGGGCTCAGGAGAGGGGACAGCACTGGTGGCCTTTAGCTGGGCTGAGTCAGAGCTGGCGGCTGGCCTGGGACTACATCGATGCAAATGTGTTTTGTGAGAGAATGACACCGGTTTATTAAGCTTAAGGAGCAATGGTTTGCCCTGGGTCCTGTTGTGCTGGGAACCATTCCCTGCCCTGGCACACAAATAATCCAAACTGACAGAGGAGGTGTCTGTCCCCACAGAAAACTGCAATTTCAGGGGTGCTGCGAGGAGTGACACCTAACTCTGTGGCCTTCACTGAGTACCTGAGAGCAGGTCTCAGCAATATATTAAAGAGTTACTGTTCCAAATGGCAAAATGTCCCTTTCACACTTGATTTGAACAGTGCACAGAGAAGTAAACAGAGTCCCAGTAAAGACCAGGACATAGGGAAGGACTCAAGAAAAGGGCTGGGCATCGGCAGCAGGATCCCACGAGGCTTCTCCAACACAAAGGGCATTGGCCTTTTGCAAATCACAGCTCCAGTTTGACTGGGCCACTGCTGGTGTTGTGTCAGGGTGGTGGGTGGGAGGAGAAGGGAACTGGAGGGGTGGCAGTGGGAAGGGGAAGTCGTGGGGTCTGCAGCCACCCTGGGGTATGGGGTGTGGGTGCCACCGTTTCCCTTTAGCAGCCAGTTGGGTGTGAACATTTTCTGATTGATTGGTCACCTTCACGGCTTCTCCAGGAAAATAATGGACTTTGTGTCTTGGATCAACTGGGCTGCTGCATGCAAACACCTGCCTCGATTGATCTGTCCCCAAAGCTGTTACTGCCCAGTGTCCTTGACCTTCCCCCCTGGTTGAGATCCCTCCCAGTGATGTTTTCCTTTCTCTCTTACAGTCAGATATTGGGTTTGGGAAGCTGGAAACCTATGTTAAACTGGACAAACTGGGAGAGGTGAGTAGACTATGAAACCCCTGTAAGGATTTAGAAGGGCAGACTGTAGCCCAATTTCTTCAATATCTAGCAATTTTTAGACCACATCTTTCTGTGGACTTCAGTTCTGACCCTGTAGTTCCAAATGATCCTTCCCCCAATGTTATGGAGTGTCTCAGTGTTGTGCCAGCCTCATAAATGGTCTGTGTGGCTTGTATTTTCTCTCCCCACCCAGGGCACCTACGCCACTGTCTTCAAGGGCCGCAGCAAGCTGACTGAAAACCTCGTTGCCCTGAAGGAAATCCGTCTGGAGCACGAGGAAGGGGCACCTTGCACGGCCATACGGGAAGGTGAGGGGCAGGAGGGGCATTTCCCCATCACAGCCCCCACGAGCAGTGCTGGGTCACAGGCAGATTTGGGACGGGTCTCACACAGAGACCCAGGTCCTGCTGCCCCAACCTGCCATCTCCTCTCCTTGCAGTGTCGCTGCTGAAGAACCTGAAACATGCCAACATCGTGACCCTGCACGATATCATCCACACAGAGCGTTCCCTCACCCTCGTCTTCGAGTACCTGGTGGGTCTGGGGGGGCTTTGTGTGGGAATGGGGGGATGGCTGCCTCTCTGCAGGTGGGTAGTGAGGGCTGAGGGAAGGAGAGGCTGACGTGTGCTTCCCATTGCAGGACAATGACCTCAAACAGTACCTCGATAACTGTGGGAACCTGATGAGCGTGCACAATGTGAAGGTAAGATGGTGCTGTCTGGGACCCTGTACCCCTGCCTCTCCCATCATGTGAGGAGCTCACCCTCAGTGCAGTCCGAGGTGTTGCAGGGCTGGGTGAGGCTGGATACACCATCTCTCTTCAGTTCAGTCTTCTTACCCTTCTTTGACTTTTTTCAGCCTGCTCTGATGCTCTACCAGCTTTTCTCCAGTCACTGCCACCCTAAATAAAATCACTGTGCATGCAGACTCTGTTCAGCTTGTTTTCTGGATTGCTGGTGATGGGCCTCAACACTTGTCTACAGTGCATCCCACCCCAGGCCAGCTTTGAGGGGTGTTTCCTGGCCATAAGTTTGGGAGCCCTTGAGACAGACACAGTTTTGGTGCCCGTGTCCCAGTGCTAAATGTCAGCCCCTTCTCCTCCCCACAGATCTTCATGTTCCAGCTGCTGCGTGGTCTGGCTTATTGTCATGGGAGAAAGATCCTGCACCGAGACCTCAAACCCCAGAACCTACTCATCAACGAGAGAGGAGAGCTCAAGCTGGCTGATTTTGGTAGGTGGACCTTTCTGGGGAAGATGCAGCATTGCCAGAAGGTGCATGCAGCTCCTTGATGCCCACTTGTTTTGTCCTCAGGACTAGCCAGAGCCAAGTCAGTCCCTACAAAAACTTATTCCAATGAAGTGGTCACGCTGTGGTACCGGCCCCCCGATGTCCTGCTGGGATCTACTGAATATTCCACTCCCATCGACATGTGGTGAGCCACAGCTCCAAACCAAGCTTCCTGGGGTCTCTGAGATGATGGGTCGGGCATTTCCATCCATCTGCCAGTGCAGCACCGTGCATGCCCACAGTGTTGGTTACACCAGAGGGTGGTGGGCTGGCAAAGCATGGGCTTTCCCAGAGGCCATGCTGTTTTCCATGACCCCTGGGGCTCAGGGTCTTTGGAGCACACTGTCCACATCAGGGGTGAATGGTTACCTGTAGCAGAAAAGGGACACAGCTCCTGGAGCTCATTTCCCTCTCCAGGAACCTCAGCCTTGGCTAAGGGGTGGTGGGGCATCCGCAGGGCTTCTCCCTCACTAATTCCAGAGCCTCTGCTGCTGCTCTAGGGGTGTTGGGTGCATCCACTACGAGATGGTCACTGGACGGCCCATGTTCCCGGGCTCCACGGTGAAAGAAGAGCTGCATTTGATCTTCAGGCTGCTGGGTGAGTCTTCTGCTGTCTCCCAGATCCCCACGCGAGGGCAGTGGCTGACTGCAGGAGCGGTGACAAAGCCCAGACTCCTAGGGGTGTTGGGTGCATCCACTACGAGATGGTCACTGGACGGCCCATGTTCCCGGGCTCCACGGTGAAAGAAGAGCTGCATTTGATCTTCAGGCTGCTGGGTGAGTCTTCTGCTGTCTCCCAGATCCCCACGCGAGGGCAGTGGCTGACTGCAGGAGCGGTGACAAAGCCCAGACTC